TAAGAATAACTTTAAATAAAAAGGAAAGCCAAGGAGTAGATGAAAGGCTTCCTGCTTAGCCAAAAAAAAAAAAAGGTTTAATCTCATAAATTGTATGCTGAACAGCTGAACTTGGGATTTGGCGTATATTTTTGGTGTTCTATCGTGGTGATATTGAAAGGAAAGCTGCCTCGATACTGCTAGATAAGAACTCGTATTTGTGAATTTTTATCATGTGAAACCTCTTTTTTGTTGTACTTTAGATATTTAAATGAGATAGTTTTGGCTGATGCAGATATTTTATGATTCTATATATATGAAACTAGTAATGCTCAAGTATCCATAAGCATTGCCTTCAACGAATCAAATTACAGGAAAAGATCCATGTTAGTCGGTAATATATGTCTTGTTATTGTTGTGTTGCACGTGTTTCAACTTTAAACAGTTATGTTTGCCTTTGCTGAAGCACCAGGTAATTTGTTGGTAGATGAGTGATAAACTTACCTATTAGACATTTAAGTCCTTGGTTGTATCTATAAGAAAGCATACACATGCCAAATGCATGAGGGTCAAACAGGGCAAAGCTAGGAATCCTAGCTAGGAGGATTGGAAACGTTAATCTATGGTGTTGTATCTTCTAGTTGTAAAATGATGGTTAATTTAATAAAAGATAGTTGGTACCTAATATTTCGTTTTAAGCATTGATTATAATTAGTGGTTGCATATCATATCTCTGGATATCAGATCATGGCAAGTCTTTGTGAGAAAATACTAATTACAGACGTATTAAAATTATTTGATTACCATGATTTTGTTTTAAGAGATGATAGAATTAGTTGGCATAGATATCTCAATAGAAAAAAGAATTATTTTGGTACATTTATTTTGTGTCAAAGTGTTAGGGTCAGTTGTTGAATGTAAACTTTGAAAGAGGGACCATCCATGAGAAAATACAGTACTTGGGGAAAGAACCAATATATTTGAGAAAAGTTGTGGACATGATATAGCCTTGCCAATGGTGGTAAAGTAAAATTTGGTCAAATGCGATAGATACATAACTTGTGAGAGCAACATGATTTTAATTAAATTTTTGTACATCTACTTTTATAGATGATAATCAATATCCAGCATCTATTGCAAACTATAATTAAAAAGAAAAAAAAATCTTAAGGGAATAGGAGATCAGCAAGGAAAGGCAGCTAGTTTTCCATTTATTTCAGTCCCCTTGCTTTATGGATGTCTTTTTTTTTAATCTAATCTAGGTACTATATTCATACATTTGATTACATTTTTATATGGATGCATAATCAGGCCTTTTGTGGACTAATGATGAGCAATTAACACCAATTGGACTCATGGAGGCTGTTTCATCTAGGATAACAAACAGTCAGAACCATTGAAATTTTAATTTTGTGGATTACTCTTACAAATGAAAAATATGCTTTGTTTCTGTCAGTTGTTTCCGATGAT